TCTGTCTCTGAGGGGTTGTTTTTCGACTTGCATGTGCTTCTTAGCTCGTGCTTCGTCGGCTCAGATTCACCTCTCAGAGGCCCAGTCCGTTAGAACCTTCCATATCAATTGGGTAAATTATCCGTCTTACTGCTGAGCGGAATCGAGTGCGAATGGACTGGCTCTATTTTAGTGTTTTGCGAAAAGGAGAGAACACCGAATTGACTTGCTTAAGTCTCGGGCCGTGTTCTCATTTAAGTCTGCTAACCCCGCGATTAATTGACTATAGTTCCATCTGCCATTATTTGTTAACATTGCGAAGGTCCATGCTGAAATCATGGAAAAATGGTAAGGTAGCACGATAATTTTTCGTCTGCCAGGCACCTCTTTTCTGTCGTCGACAACAATGCCGAACCTCCCCTCTTTTAGCTAGCCGATATGGAAGCATGTTAATGCTTCTGGATGCGGCAAAGTCGATATGATTTCATTAGTGATCACCTTACGTGATTCATGCAGACCGAGTCTAATGTAGGAACATATGCCATGTCACACCAAGGTATACTTTCTAGTCTTAGTGCCGGAGTTGTCCACTCTCTTTCAAACTGCTGGACGTGCTCCGTAGGAGTTGGGGCAAGGAACATGATAAGGTGGCAGACAGACAACTGGCTCCGCCCATATCTCCATGCAATCGTCCTGTACTTTGCACTCTCCAAGGATCTTCGCAGGCTCACAGTAGCGCTCGCCTATTGCTTACCTGACAGCCAATGAGATGCCTCCTGAGAGGGAAAGTTGAGTCGTAAGTTGTAACTTGGTCCACTGCTAGGCCATTACAAACATCGTGTACTGCTGATCCCGCGCAGTCGACCTCTGTAGTGCGTACTGAAAACTGAAAGTGGAGCCTGGACTGTCAAGCATCTTCGGCGTCATCTGTCCTTCTGCCAGATCTGACTTTGATAGTATCATTGTGTACCATGGTACCTGGTCTTTTAGATTGGAACGCACCCTAAGTTGGTAATTGGAGACTCTGCAATGCCAAATAAGGGTGTCGACAATGAGGCTTTTTCCCTCACCTCCCTGGTGATCTGATCATAATCCATCGTCCTAGTCAATAGTCTCCAGGGCATGTCCTTTGCCCAGACATCCATGCAGATATGACGGTACCACCGACTTGGTAGGTATTGGAGTAATCTTAAGGTACCAGCTCTCCACACACCATCATCAAGCGATGCCCTAGGCCCAGGGTTTTGAGAGAATCTCAAATAAGAAGCTTTGATGATCATCCCTCGAGTCGCAAGTTGTTATTAATAATAGAGTAAATCGGGACCCTCTTGAAAGGCTTAAATCGGATCAGTTGCCATTCGCTAAGGTAGCATGTGCTAATACTGCTGAGCCGTGCATAAAGGAAGGTACCTAGTGCTGTGGGCACCTGTAACCCTGGTACGGTATTGTAACACGACTGAAATGCCGAAGGCCTACGAAGTAACCGTAGGTACCTTACTCCGTAGTCTGTATGGAATCTACTCCATACAAGGCTAAGCCTCCAAGTATTGCACGTGATCAAACATCACGTGGTTATTTCACGAGCCACATTGACCGCTGCGCAGCCACCTGAGCTACCACAGCCACAATTACGGGTCTCTCTATCTACAGGGGGCAATTGACGGCGACATTGAGGAGACAGTAGGTGAAAGGTAGGAAAGCACGCTCTCTCCGAGGCAGGTTCCTGTTCACTTCGTGCTCAATCAACTCACTCGGCCCTGGTGGTATTCGATGGTGAGATCAGATCATGGAATTCTCTCATCTACGTCTATCTTTCTCCTAATTCCGGCCCCTCCAGACCTCCGCTTGTCGTTCCTCTTCACACAATCACAATGGACGACCTGAACGGACTAAGTTGGACATCCAACTCTTCAACGAACGCTCAGAAGCCCCCACCTCTGGGCTCCGGATTCTCGTTTCCCACTGTGACGCGCAATAACGTTTCTGGCCGATCTACTCCCCTTTCTGCCACTGGCCCCTCTCACCCACCGTCCAAGTCGGCGACCCCGGACAACGACAGCTTTGCGAATCTTGTATCCTTTGGTTCAGCAAATGCGAATAATAAGAAACTATCTCTCCTAGAGCAACAAAAGAGGCTGCAAGAAGAGCGCGCCAGAAAGGAAGCAGAGAATAGGTCTAAGTTTGAATCACAATACGGGGGGCAAAATGCTCAATTCTGGGATCACTTGGAGAAGACMGGGAACAAGAATCCCTTTGCATCGAAGTCGAGACCTGTACCGCAGCGATCTCCGTCCGCCGATGAGGATGATCTTCTTGCTGCTTTCGACGCCTCTGCGCCTGTAGATGCTTCGACGAACTTCCCGATCCCGAGCCCGAGCCCCTCGCCGCAGATTGCGCAGAGCGCCTCTATCGCGGCGGCGCAGCTGCACAAGACCAGTGGAATGTCATTCAATGAGATCGACGATGATCCCTTTGGCCTCAATCAGCTAAAGTCGAAGCCAACAGCAACCCCGCAGCCCGCTCAGACCGACGACGATGACTTCCTTGGCTTGCTGGGAAAGCCAGTTTCTGAGGTCTCTCGCCCCGCACCCGAGCCGTCGCCGAAACCCTCATCCCCCGTCATCCATGAGGAAGATGTGCCTTCCCCCAAGCCGTCCAATGGTGTTGATCGGGCGATTGCAGAGCTTGTAGACATGGGTTTTCCCGCAGATAAGGCCAGCCAGGCACTACGGGCAACGGCGTCTGGAACCGACATCCAAGCTGCTGTGAGTCTGCTTCTGACGCAGGCACATGAAGAAGCTCGTCAGAAATCCAAAAATAGAGCACCAGCCATCGACCGTGATTTCGACCATCAGGAACGCAGCAAAGAGCGGAGCTCAAGACAAGATCGTGACGTCCCTTCCTGGATGAGAGAGGAGCAGTCGAGAAGTCGTGCTAGCAATCGGTCCCCAGCATCGGCAAGCAAAGATCCGTCACAGATTGCCGCTACTTTTGGTAACAATTTCTTGAAGACTGCGAATTCGCTGTGGAAACAGGGGAGCAAAAAGGTTCAGCAGGTTGTTAATGAGCTCAACTCAGAGCATGATCAGTCCCAGCCGCGATGGCTTAAAGACGCTTCGGCCCGTCAGGAGCCTTGGCCACAGCCAACTGACAGTGACGACCGGGCTACTGAAACCTCGCGCAGGAGGCCCGATGTTCTAACAGATGAGGCTCTTCTCCTTGAACCTGGGGCTGCTCCCCGGCCGTCTCGTAATCAATCTCGGGCCAGCGAAAGGCCCTCGTCGCGAACGCATACCAATGGCTTACGAAGCCAACAGCCCCAAGCTGGAGAGGCGCGTACCCCGCAGCCCGCTTTGATGCAGCAGCAGTTGAGAAACGAACCACTGGATCCCAGGTCTCGTGTGTCCAAAAACCTGGTTGAAGAGCAGACCGCACAAGCGTACGTTAGCCCTGCTAGAAGGAGACGGCCTGTTGCGCAACCATCTGCTCCTGAGGCCAACGTGGATTTATTCGATTCTTCTGCACAAAGACCGCCAGCCAACCGTTCGCGGCTCACTCCTCCCCCAGCACAATCTCCAAAGCCACCTGCACCATCAAAACCTCTTCCTGTTCGGCCCAAGGCTCCTGCGCGAGTCGTTCCGCAGCTGTCACAGGAAAGTCTTATGTCGACTCACAGGCATCGTGAGAAAGGTGCAGAGGCATACAAAAGAGGTGACTATGCCGCCGCTCACGATGCCTTCACCGCTGCCCTCACGATGCTACCTGATAAGCATCCCATCACCATCATCATCCGCAGTAACCGTGCGATGACAGCCTTGAAGGTCGGCGAGCCGAAAGTGGCCATCGGTGATGCGGACGCCATTTTGGAGCTCATTGGCCCTTCAAAAGGAGAAGCTGAGACCATTGATCTCGCTAACGGTGAAACGGCAAAGCCAATGAAAGATTTCTATGGCAAAGCCTTGATGCGCAAGGCCGAAGCCTTGGAACAATTGGAACACTGGGCCGATGCCGCTCAAGCGTGGAGACAGGCGGTCGAGAACGGCCATGGTGGAAGTACTAGTATCCAAGGCCGGAACAGATGCGAAAAAGCTGCTGGTATCAGCAAACCCGCACCGAAACCTTCCGCGCCGGCGAAGCGACCACCAGCACCTGCTCCGAAGAAGCCGTCGGCCTTGAACGAACTCCGAGGTGGCTCGCCGTCGACGAGCGGATCCTCCGAGGCTGTCAGCCGTTTGCGAGCTGCTAACCAGGCAGCCGAGCGCGCGGACGAGGAGAAATTTGCTCTCGGCGAAAGTGTCGATGCACGGCTAACGGCCTGGAAGGGCGGGAAGCAGGACAACCTTCGCGCACTGCTCGCTAGCCTGGACACAGTTCTGTGGCCGGAAGCAGGCTGGAAGAAGGTCAACATGTCAGAGTTAATTCTGCCAAATAAAGTCAAGGTGCAGTACATGAAGGGGATTGCCAAAGTGCATCCTGACAAGGTATGTTGCTTTTTGCGCCATTGGTGAAGAGACCTCGGCTAAAACGAGCTAGATTCCTACCAACGCCACGACCGAGCAGCGCATGATCGCAGGGGCAGTTTTTGGTGTCCTGAACGAAGCCTGGGACAAGTTCAAGGCAGAGAACAACCTCTAAGACATCACGCCATCCGTCATCAGGAAAAGTTTGAGACTTCAAGGATGCATGTCTTATGTCTGCTCCTACGATACTCTGGTTCTGACCACGTTTACATCACTCATCACTTTAAGCCCATTTTCTCATTCATACCATATCTCGAATGCATTGGCATATTCTGGTTGATATCTTAAACTCTTGTGCTGCGCCCACGGGGTACAATTCTCTTACGCACTGATTCTCATTGTATATATACACTCGCATATACATCAGGATCCCATGGTTACATGTTGGACGGAAAATCCCCCAGTTTTTATGGCATATATGAAGTCAGGATCTTGAGGTGCCTGATTATTCACCTTGTATTTCAAGCGTCTAGATTATATCACAATAGCGAAAATTCCGATCTATAATTGGGCTTCCTGGGGCTGCGCAGGAATGTCTGCTGACTTTTGCACCTCTTCCTGCGCCTCCTTCTCCTTCGCTTCCTTTTTTAATTGCTTCTTGCCTTTCGGTTTTCCTGCGTCCGGTGAGCCCCCTGTCTTCTGAGCCGGCCAGGTCTGCCGACACCTTTGCTCGTCTTCCTCTGTCCATTCGCGGGGTAGAATAGCAAAGACAAGATACGATGTATGAGTTTTCAGGTCCGGTTCGGTGCGATGTACCAGGCGGCCGAGATCGTACGATGGGGTTGAGGATGGAGCTGCGGTTGTGTCCGACTGCTGCGGTATGTCGTGTAGGAATTTCTCTTCAACTTCTGTCTTCTCTGACTTGGTTGCTGCTGGTTTGTCGGAGGCGGTGCCTTCATCGTCGCTCTCTTGAAGGAGCGACTCGCGGAATCTTCTCGAGTGTTCCTCGACGGCGCGCATCTTTGCGACTGCTTCGTCCACGGACTTGGGGAAGACGGTTGCGCCCCGGACACCTTCACAATCTAATCCGCATCGTTCGCGTTTGACATCAATCCGGTGGTGGTTTACCTCAACCATCGATATTGAGAGCCAAGAATGCTCGCGGAGTGTGCTGATCGTCCGCTGCACCTGCTCGATACACGGGGAGAACGTGCATATATACACCGGCGACGAGGGATCGAGAGGCGACTCCGCTCCCGAAGGGGGCCGGCGAACGAGATGCTTGAGCGCGAGCCATGGCGCAGGCAGGTCGAGGAAGATCGCGTTGGCTTTGGGCGATTTTCCGGTCTTCGGGTCCCCAAGAAGGAATCCATCTTCGTAAACATCACGATGCGTCACCTCGACCAGTCCATCCAGGCCGTGGTCGTGGATCTCTTCCCGGACTCGTTGTGCGCGCTGTGCGTGGAATTCGAAACTGCAGACCTTGCCTAGCCTTCTTTTCTTAGCTGCGGGTGCCGCGGAGGGGTATCCGTTAAAGACTGCGCGGACGGATGCATGTGTGAACGAGCCGCTCCCAGCCCCAGCCTCGATGATTGTGCTCCCGGGGCGAACGCAGAGCCGATGCAGGATGTAGCTGTAGTCCGGTGTGTAGACAACCTGCGTCCGATGCGGGAGCGACGCGGTCCATAACTCCGGCGTAGGGTATAGAAGATGGAGGAACCCGCTGGCGGCCGCGCGGGGCGTGCCAGGATAAGATTGCGCCTCCTCCTTGTTCGATGTCGGGGTGTCCAAATCATCCGCTTTGCGCTTCTTGGACGGCTGATTCTTGCGGCCCCGGGACCCTGTGTCTACTACAGAGGCGACAATCTGCGATCCCCATGGTTGATCGATAAGCGTGCTGTGTGGAAATGACCCGAAACGAGTGTTGGTGACTTTTCCCTCCTTGTAACCCTGATTTTCGTCGTCTTCTAGTTTGAGTATAGTCGGGATGGTCTGGTCTCTGCGGAGATGAAGTAAAGCAAGGTCGCCCAATTCGGACTGAAGGCGGTGGTTGAGGAATGGGGAGCCCATTGCGACTGCCTGCAATCGCAGAGGAGCGGCGAAGAGGGTACGGAGGTCGTTGAGGAAAGAAGCTAGACCGATATATCTCTATCCTCGAGTAATCCGTCACTTATCTCTGAACTATAGTACTACAGCGGCGACAAGCTTTGGAGAATCTCCGATAGGGTCTAGACCAGAAACAGCTTATACACAGGGCTTAGGGCTCAGGGCTAGATGTCAGGGCGAGCAACTCCTGGTCCCTGCAAGACTCTGATTGGCTGCATGACTTAGACCTATCCATTCGCATTCAAACCTCAGGCTCCCAGGCTTCAATGAGTCACCCAGTTAGGCAGTTAAACATTATTGCTCAACCCCTCCCCCTCGTTTTAAAGGTGGTCGTACCAAATCTCCATCTTCCTCTTCTTTCCTCTGTCCTTGATGCCCATATCCTTCTCTCGTATTTCACTCTCGGTCTCCTCGTTTATAAATCCCTCAAAGTCCCGGTTGTCGCTCCTTTCTCCTCTGTTGATTTTTTCTCGATCAATGGCCACCGCGCGCCAGCAGCCGCCATGGCGGCAACCAACTGAGTATCCCGAGGCCAAATCTCGCCTACCACCTCTGAAGATTTGGAATTCGTTGACGCGATCTAAGAATCCATTCATTCCTATTGACCCTGAAGGAAAGAAGGTGACTTGGTATGCTTGTGGGCCGACTGTCTATGATGATTCCCATCTGGGCCATGCCAGGAACTATGTCAGCACAGATATAATTCGGCGTATCATGCGCGACTACTTTCATTTCGATGTGAAGTTTATTATGAATATTACAGATGTCGATGACAAGGTGTGCAAGTCTTTACTTGTACCATTGGTCACTTTAGCAGTTGTGCTGACGCAGTGGCATCTAGATCATCCTCCGAGCGCGCCAGCAGCATCTCTTCAACGAGTTCGTCTCCACCCACCCTACCGTCGACGCTGAAGTCCTGGACGTTGCGCGAAATGCATATACTGCCTATTTGAAGAAGAACCTTCCGTTACTGAACCCCGATCTGCCGCCGGCGCAGTATCAAGAGGAGGTGGAGAAGGTCTACGCGACTGTGTTGAATGGAGGACCATTACCCGGTAATGAGAGAGCTGGTGATGACGAGGCAAAGGTTAAGATGCACATCAAGACGGTGGCGTCAGCTACGAAGGTGATCACGCAGGCGGAAGGCCTCGACCAGGCTACTACCCCTAAGGGCTTCGCCGAGTCCTTTTACACAAATGCTCAGGACGTCCTCCTCTCATATCTGGATTCGCTCAAGGGGTCCTCGATCAATGCGGACGATCATTCCATTTTCACTAAGTTGACGAAGAAGTACGAGGAGCGGTTCATGAAGGATATGCGCGATCTCAACGTCCTTGACCCCGACGAGTTGACTAGGGTCACCGAGTATGGCGCTGAGATTGCGGACTTCGTGGAGAAGATCGTTGAAAACAAGTTTGGCTACGTTACGGATGACGGTTCAGTATACTTCGATATTACTGCGTTTGAGAATGCTGGGCACCCCTATGCCCGGCTTGAGCCCTGGAGCCGGTCCGATAACAAGCTGCTCGCGGAGGGAGAAGGCGCATTGACAAAGAAGACAACCGAGAAGCGTTCAGCTTCCGACTTTGCACTTTGGAAGGCGTCGAAGCCTGGTGAGCCCAGCTGGACGAGCTCCTGGGGTCGGGGCAGGCCGGGTTGGCACATTGAATGCTCTGCGATGGCTTCGGCCACGCTTGGCAAGCAGATGGATATCCACTCCGGAGGTATTGATCTAGCTTTCCCGCATCATGACAATGAGCTGGCCCAGAGTGAGGCTTATTGGTCCCATGGCCACTCCCACACCGATCAGTGGGTGAACTATTTCTTGCACATGGGTCATCTGTCGATTCAAGGTTCAAAGATGTCGAAGTCGCTTAAGAACTTCACGACCATCCGAGAGGCACTAGAGAGAAAGGAGTGGACACCGCGCAGTCTCAGAATCGTCTTCTTGCTCGGCGGTTGGAGGGACGGCGTTGAAATCACAGAGGAACTCGTCAGCGCTGGAAATTCTTGGGAGGACAAAGTCAACAACTTCTTCATCAAGATGAAGGATCCTGCGACTCTATCAGGCCAGACGTCGGGCTCCGACACCACTCTCCCTGCCGCACTGGAGGCTGCGCAGAAGGCTACTTTCGAACATCTTTGCGACTCCTTCAATACGCAGGGAGCGATGTGGGCGATTTCAGAGCTGATCTCAAAGTACAACGGCGCCGACAAGTCTACACTCAATCCCAAGGATGTCGAGGCTGTCGCGCGTTGGGTGACCTCGATGGTCAATATCTTCGGTTTGAATGGCAGCGCAACCGCCGACAGCACGGAAATTGGCTGGTCAGGTATTGATGTGCCTGAAGAAGCCAAGCCTTTCCTGTATCCGCTCTCCAGCATGCGTGACTCGCTCCGCCAGGCTGCGCGAGCTAAGGAGGGAGTTACCGCGGAGGCTGTTGCGGAGATTGTGAACAAGGGAGACGTGCCAGAGCAGGACCTGACTGAATCCGCAAGACCTTATGCTGAACTTCTTTCGAATTTCCGCACTAAGGTGTCCTCTATCCAGGAATCCGATTCGCTTAGCAAGGAGATCCTGACACTCTGCGATCGCGTTCGCGACATCGACCTGTTCGATCTTGGCATCTACCTTGAAGACCGGGATAACCTTCCTGCCTTGGTCCGTCCTGTTACCCGAGAGCTGATCCAGGCTCGGGAGGAAAAGGCAGCGCGGGCGCGCCAGAAACAAATTGAAAAGGAGAACAAGGAGAAGGAAGCTCTGAAGAAACTGGAGAAGGGCAAGCTGAGCCACCTGGAGATGTTCCGGACCAACGAGTACAGCGCCTGGGATGAAGAGGGTCTCCCTACTCGCGATGCTGCAGGCGAGGAGATTACGAAGAGTCGGGCGAAGAAGCTTCGAAAGGACTGGGAGAGACAGAAAAAGCTACATGAGACTTGGCTGGCCAGTCAAATAGGCGCCAAATAGAGGGAGGAGGTATCATAAAATAGTTTTTTGGATGTATCTATGCATTATAATGGCGTTCTTGGTTCGCCGTGTGTGGCAGACCTTTTCGGTCCATATCTATATCTACTACTATCCCTGATGATCGTTTATAACAATCAACCCGAGGCATTGGAAATATTACTCTGAGTAGATCCTCCATAGCTTCGTACCATTGCTGAATGGCGCGGGTTATGCAGTTTATGCACCGCACAAAATCCCCGGATCACATGCTAAGAGCTCCGGTGATCCACTCAAGTCACCAGACAGACAAACACTACGGGGTAAGGAGTAGTACTAAGAACATGACTATTATTCGATCATCTCATCAAAATACAGACACTCCTGAAAGGTCAAGATTAGGTGGCTCTGGGGTCTATCTACTCCACAATCCACGTCCGAAACGCCATCGGCCCATCTGGAGATACCTCCGAATTAGGGATCGTCGACCGACAAACCGCAGGCTGACAATTTTCGACCTCGGCAACTCGCATTGTCCACACCAAGAGGCCCGCGGTTACACAGTTCACAGTGGTCAGCACAACGGCCGATTTCTCAGCATAGCGAAGCGGGCAACTTAGTTAATAGCTGCTTCTTTCCTGTTTTTTAGAGATTCTCAGAAGATTTTGGCATAGAAGAATTCAACCATTTTCGCATTTCTAGAACTTGATAGTGGAGTTTCATTCTCTTAGCTCGTCTCCACGACAAGATGCCTTTCAACACTGCGTTAACGAGGAAACTGGGCATCACCAGTGAGTTGCATGGACTTGGAGTTGTGGAATGGGGCTCGAGTTGCTGACGAATTTACAGTCCCTGTTGTACAGGGAGGTATGCAATGGGTTGGATACGCAGAACTCGCTGCGGCGGTTAGCAACGCAGGTGGTCTGGGAATTGTACGTCTACGAAGCACTCGACACAATCGAGTCTGAAAGACAATCGCTAACTCAACAAAGCTCACTGCGCTCACGCAACCCACCCCCGAAGACCTCCGCAAGGAGATTCGCCGATGCCGAACCATGACCAAGAAGCCTTTTGGCGTGAACCTCACCCTCCTCCCAGCCCTCGTGCCCCCAGACTACGCCGCCTACGCACAAGTGATCATCGACGAGGGCATCAAGATCGTTGAGACAGCCGGCAACAACCCCGGCCCCGTGATTTCGCAACTGAAGAAGGCCAACACGATCATCCTGCACAAGTGCACGACTGTCCGCCACGCCAAGTCCGCCGTGAAGCTGGGCGTGGACTTCCTCTCCATCGACGGCTTCGAGTGCGCTGGCCACGTCGGTGAGCACGACATCACAAACTTCATTCTTCTCAGCCGGGCACGTCAGGAGCTCAAGGTTCCCTTCATCGCATCGGGTGGGTTCGCGGACGGACAGGGTCTTGCGGCGGCGCTGGCGCTCGGTGCGGAAGGTATCAACATGGGTACCCGGTTCATGTGCACTGTTGAGGCGCCCATCCATCAGAAGGTCAAGGAGGCTATTGTGGCGTCAGACGAGAACAACACCAACCTGGTTATGAGACGGTGGAAGAACACCACCCGTCTGTTCAAGAACAAGGTGACGGAGGAGGCGCTGAAGGTTGAGAAGGAGAGCAAGACGGGCGAGTTTGCCGAGATTGCGCCCTTCGTTAGCGGCAAGAGAGGCCGCGAGGTGTTCCTGAACGGTGACATTGACTACGGTGTAAGTTCTTACCCCCTTCCCGTCGACACGCCTTGTTTACGCCGAGATTCCATAAACTAACATGGTTTAATTCGCAGGTATGGACCGCTGGTCAAGTTATTGGTCTGATTCACGACATCCCGACGTGCGCGGACCTCCTGCAGCGGATTGAGAGAGAGGCTGTCGAGGCCGTCGATCGGTCCAGGTCGTTGTACACGGCAACCGCAGGGCAAAGCAAGCTGTGAGGTTAGACTATCTAGCTTTGTTGCGATGTTTCGTACGCCAGCAATCCAGATTGAGATAGTTGGATCTTGGATGCTTCTCCTTGGTACTAGGAATGTAGATCCCCAATATAAGCGAGATGAACACTGGACCGCGTCTGTGTTGTTGATCCTGTCTAGCTAAACCTCTTCCTGCGGAATGTAAGGACTCTTGGCTATTTTTCTTGGATCTTCACATGTATTTGAGAAAGCACGGAGCTTATCCCTTGCCTCCCTTCCATAGCGGGGCGGACAATTGCCGGCATTTAGCTCAAAGGCGAACGTGACTTTCTTAGAACGTGTAAACAAAGCATGAGGTGCTATCTGAACTGTAAATGTGTCTGGTGACAGAGAATGATGTAGCAAATGTCAGAAGGGGCCGGATCAATTGGAGTAGAAGTGATTCGGTATGCTCCCCGAGAGCCAGTATCATAGCCCTAACTTACCATGCATCTATTAGAGCTCAGCAAATCCATAAGATTACGATCAACTATATACTGATATGAACACGACCTACTCCAGTAGGCCTCACTTACAGTCACGCAAGTAAAGCAATAGTCTTCAAACATGTTTCTGGTCCTTACTTTATGCTATACTATATGCCGAGCATAATACTCCAACTGTTCGAGTTCTCAGCTATCAAATAGATGGAACCATGCATTAGCCGAGATAATGTCTCAAGTGTCAGGCACAAGGTTAATTTGTTTGTTGACATAGTGGTTACCAGTGCGAGGCGACGAGATGCATCTATATATGTCGGTAGGAGTAGCTGTAACTCGACTGCATCTGATCCATTTGCGTCAGGTCCAAGAACTCAGAGTTTACCCTCAAAGTGTACTGGGAATCTATGAACGGCCGCCCATCGCAAGCATGGACTTGATATCGTCAATACTTCCTTGTATCCAGCGACGGAAGCCGCTCAAATTTCCAGCCCAAGAGCAACATGGCGCGCAGCCAGAGAGCGAAGCGTCTCGGGCCTCTTCAGCAGCGTCACGAACCGTGCCCAGCAAGTCCTCAGCGAGGATGTCGGTTCGACTCGTTGAAGCCGTCGATTCGCAGACGACCATTTGCCCCGAGGAGCTCCTGAGCGACCATGACGGGCTCCAGGAGGACGAGAAAGAGATCTTCCCAGTCGAGAATAAAGAGGCAGACTCTGCGAAAGACGCCAACGTCAGAGTCATCCACATGGATCTCGGCGATACCCCGAGAGGAACCCACGACCGTCACAATCAAAAAGAACACCTGATTCCCACCCTACCTCCCAAAGCTGCAAAGCTCCCCGAGGTCAAAAGCCGCATGATAGAGAATATCCCCGAGGAAAGCGACGACGAGCAGGGCAACATTCCATTGTTCGAAGATTCCACCGAGAAATCATCTCAAGGAGACGCCAAACGCAACTCAACCTGGCGCCAAAGCTCCAGAAAGTCTCTGGTCGACATCATCAACCTCCTGCAATCAACCACAAGCAACAACATCAGCACCCTCCGCATCAACAGCCTGAAGTGGCCCTTACCACCCAGGTCCCCGCACCGGCCCTCCACAGCCTTATCCTACTGCTCTTCGTCCTCGCTGAGCTCCTCGGTAACAGCCACTGTAGAGTTCGAGAAGCCGACCCCCATCGTCAAGAAAGAGAGACGGATGGGGGCAGCGATCCTCCCCACGATCCGACTGGGGCCCCGGAGATGGAGCGTCGATGACGGGAGCATTGGCAATGACAGTAGCATCAACATCAAGGGGCCTCGGCCTCTTTTTTGCGAGTAACGGAGTTTGGAGCTTGGCTTTCTTGTTTGACTGGTGGTTTCGGTCTGCTTTGGCCGTTGTGGGGTCTGTGTTTCTATGGTCGTATGGGGGCCTGGTTGTGTGGTCTGTTATCTTGCCTGTGGATATTTGATTCTTCTTCTTCTTCTTTCTTCGTTTTGTTTCCTTTTCTTTTCTTTCCTGGGGTGATTGATATACATACTTTACAATAACTTAATCCTATATATTGCTGGCAAAGACGGAGATTTCATTCAACGCGATATTCTTAATGTCAATCAGTGAATTCTGAGCTATTCATCTCAGTGTTGGGTGCAGCTGGCAAAGAAGGAGATTCTAATATTGTCGTACAATATCAATCAGAGAGTTGTGAGCTGTTCAACTCAATGTTAGGTGCAAAGTCCATAGAAGTGAGTGTGAATGATAATGGACATGGAAAACAGATCTGGGTCAACCGCAGCAGTACATGGAGCTCCGAAATAGTGACCTAGGGTGAACCTCTGAGATGCGCGATTACAAGTCTCCAGGTCATCAAGTGATGGACAAGGAAAGGTGATCAAGTGAGTTTCGAACAGAACGCGTCGCATATGGACGGAAAGATCGTGTGGTATGGCTGGGCAAGGCTATGGCGCGCTTCCTGTGTGAGAGGAATGCTGGGAATTTACATCTACATCCGCAATCGGAAATGACCATTGCCATAGATGGCAATGAATTTCAGGAGGGAAAAAAAAGTTATGAGGCAATTCTATGCATTAATTTATGTATGACAAAGCCAGCATCGATAAATGCTGTTTGCCCACAGGCAGACAGTATTGGGGAAAACAGTGCAATCTTCTTTCTCCGAGTGCCACAGCACAATTAATGATACACAATTCAGCAACAGGTACCCTATCTATCAAACAGAAGATTCCCGGGACCCTGCTCCCTACCCCGAGCCGCCATATCGAATCTCCAAACGCTGGCTGAGAGCGCCAACAGCAGAAACGACGAGTAGCTTACAGGATAGAACCGAGGGCAATGCAAGGAAGAGCCAGGCCGATGAGGGACTCGCCCTAATGGACGTTAGAAGAGACCTAGAGATTTGTTGAACAAGACTTACGGCATCGGAAGGAGAGTTCTGGCAGCAGGCAATGTTCTGCTTGCACTTCTGGTTGACCAGATCCTGGATGGGAATACCAATAATGGGGACTGGAATATGTTAGTATGCACGACCGGCCTCTGAAGGAGAAGCTTAGCTTACTCTGGAGGTCCAGCTTGGAGCACTGGTCGAAGAGACCGAGACCCTCGGAGCCAGATCCACCACCGATGAGGTTCTTGAGGGTACCAGCGAGGATACCCTCGTCGATGTCGGTGACATCACCGGCGTAGGTGGCCTTGTTGCAGCAAGAGAGCTGAGCCTGGTCACCACACTTCTCGGTAGCCTGCTTAACGGTCATGTTTTCAGGAACGGGGAAGCGGACGTTGGCGTTGCCCTTGTTGCCAACGCCATTGCCAGCAGCATTCAGATCTTTCTGGGGAAGGGCGGCCACGGAGACGGCGAAAGCGAGGACAGCAGCGCTCAAAGAAAACTTCATTGTGACGGTGGGGTTTGAAAGGGAGTGAAGACTCGGAGTGAATTTGGTTTTGAAGAAAGGTGAGAAGATTGTCCTTCAAAGGAAAGGTTTGTCAACGAGAGTGATGGTTGATGGAGAGGAAAGAGAATGGCCAGAGGTGAAGCGAAGACATCTTTATATAGACTCAGGTGGAGGCAGCGAGCTCTCTGTTGATGCTAGTCCGACCCGCCCTTGATTGAGCTCTCTGTCATTGTAGCTCTCCAGCTTGAGTCCCTGATTGGAATGTGGTATGCAAGGAATCCATCGTGATTTGTCCCTCAGGAGTCAGAACCGCGTTATCGCAATCTCGCGGCCCTGGTCTGAAGCTTTCTGTCCCAGCGGTTGGTATGGATCTGCAAAACATTCGATTGATCTGAACCAACAAGTCAGCCTCCAGCATACCACGCTCTCGTGAGCCACGCCTCGTTCAGGGGACGGCCGTGCTTCGACTGAGACCGCATAGTCCGCGTCTTCTGTCTCATTCCCCTGGTTCTACTACGTCGATCATTCATGCAAGCGGTAAACTCACCTGTGCCCGCTTCATCATGGGGTTGCATTACCTGCCACGGAGCTATCGCAGAGTTACCGCATTCAAAACAACTTTCTTCTTGATTCTCCATATCACACGATTGGGACCAATTCCTACGGCTTCAGCCATTCCATCAGTGGCGCATCCCATATGACTCCACTCTCACTTGATACAGAGGGAGTGAGAACCTGCTGGCATAGCACGGGAAGGGCTAACCCTTAAGTGGCCAGGGATCGGAGTATTCAAGGGCCACTCGTTCGGTATGCAGTCAGTCGCCAATGGTTTCAACGTGCTTGTTGCTGATTTAATCCAAGGTTGCAGAAACTTCGCAGCACCTGCAAAGCCTTGTTGTTGGTCTGCAAGGGACTCTCCATCTCGTTCAAATGATCGGTAGTGTATTATCACCGCAAGGGTTACGACGTAGCTGACCCTGTCCCATGGCTCCAGCAGCCCAGCCTCATTCTATCGTCATAAACAATATTAAATTTTCCGAGTGTGCTCGAGCCGGTTTCTCTTCCTTTGATGAGCCCTCCAGCCAGGCTCATGCTGGCAAGGGAAATCTGATTTCCTCCTTTGCTTTGTTCCTGGCAACAAACGAGGCAAGGGGCTGTCAATCAGAACTATGGAGCATGTAGATGGCTGCTTTGCCAGATGTGGTAAGCAATCCTGTCTTCCCGAATGTAACTCGCTCCGTTCGCAGTTGCTCGTTGCTGAGTAGTGATGAAATCGACTTTGAGTTCTCTTTCCGTTTTCACTCTAGCTCGCATGTTGCTGTCGGGGAAACACACCCTGCGCTCCACATTACTCGATTGAGGGTCTTCCAAATAAATAATAAAGAGCCTCCTCGTGTTGAGTGGATGACGAGCTGGTCGCATGGCCGGATCATGAGTTGTAGTCATGTAGAGCGGGCATCTCAACAGTTCAGCCGTACTCCAGTCGTCGAAGAGGTCTACGGAACGGTGTTCTCTACTGATGATCACCTTGACCAAAGACTATGCTTAATCATTGACATACAGTTTCTGCCCACGCTGCAGTCTCTATACAATGTCTCATCCCGAGGTGCCAGTATACTACGCTATAGAGTAGATGCGTCCTTCGAATCTGCAGTTATTCCTTTAAGACCATGTTCGTGGGCATTCAATAAAACTACGTAGCTAGTAGATTAGGTCCAGGGACTCCATTGTCATCCTTGACGTTACCTTCTGCTGAAATGAATGGCGTGTGTTGGGACTGACTCTATGTAGATTTAGATATATATTTCTACGTGGCTCATCTAGGCCACATCCGCCCAACAAAACATCCTACAACATGTATGAACTTTCAGTTATATTTTTTTTTGTATATTCAGCACTGTGGAATATACGTGTACATGTTACAAATATAGTGGCACTACGTGAGCTGCGATATGTTATTCCCTACTGTTGTTCTGAGCTCCGTTGGTCTATACAGGGCCGAGGAGTGACACTATGAGCCGTGGAGTATCAAAGTCCTCTCAATCCATTACTGCCTAAACTAGTTCTCGACTAGACTGGACCAGCAATATACTACAAATCAATGAGTCATATACACAGTATACCGCTGCAGAATATTGTTATGGCAGAAAAATCTTTCATTTTGGTTATACGAGAGGTAGTATCAAGTAGCTCCCTCCCACCATCACCTCGTCATAGACACGCGCAAACTACCACTCGGCATCTCTAACGTCTCAACGACCTCAGGATTTTTATCTATGTGATAAACTCTTAGTATGATGCAATGACCCTGTCCAAGTCTACAGTCGTGACTATCTAAGCGGTCACATTCCTGCCTCCTACTCTAATCGCTGATTATCCCTTGATGGAGATAGTTCCAAATGATACCGACAACTGGGCGAATAATCTTAACAACTGACTCAAAGTCTGGGCATTGCTAATGAGATTTACACTCTATGGAATGCTGAGGTTGAGTTTCAAATTGCTGACTGCCTAGCTGTGATGACACAAACAAACGACGAGTCATCGGCAATCTCCCATGTGCCCATGTTGTCACCGTCACTATCCAGTCCATTATTGCGACCATAGGCCCTTCTGCATAGAAAGGTGGTGTCCTATCTCTCAGCTATTGAGGTCATGAAGATCGGCTATGAGCCTTCGATATCAACCTAGACAACGCCGAAGCGTTCTTCCCATTGCTGGACCTTGCACGTTCTGGTTACTGCCCTGCTCCTCGTTCGTGCTCGAAGCTATTCCAGCAAGCAATCAGGCATTGTATGGCGCTTTTAATCGGACTGATGAAAGAGATCTAGCTTGCCGCCTTTGACGCGTTGGCATTGATTTAAGTAGCAGACTTCCGACGTCGAATCCGAAGTAGCTCTATTTTCATTCCTTCGGCGAGCAAACCAGCGGGAAAATGAATTATAGTATTCTGGATGATAAGGGCAGTGGAAAGGAGAATAGCATTTATATATGCATTTCAACTGGTGAGAGCGTCAACCATTGATTCCGTACTAGACGCCTGCCTTGATGCCTTGGTGCCTCGATGCCTCAGGGCTCGAACAAGTAGATAGACGGACTAGTCCCAATATGGTTAGCCTACGATGATGATTGCTGGAGTTGATCGTCCGCTGCAAGTCTGCGGTAATGCTCAAGTAATTCTGCTACGCCTCTCCGCATCTCTGTTGACAAGCTTCTGGACGTACTCTTCAGCTGTTCCAGCAGTGTTAGCTCCAAAATGTCCGCGACCCCTCCGTCTAGTCGTCTTGACCGTTCCCCCAGCACAGAGAAAGGCGCCACGGACAGCTTATCCGAGCTGCCCGTGGACAACCAGGAAGAATCGACGACTCGCTCGCAGGATACACATGAGGAAAAACAACCAACACAGAACAAGGACCAGGGAAATGACACATCACCAAGCAAAACGACAGATGCCGAAGAAAACACAACAGACCCACATGGTGATAAAGAAGATGCCAAAGAGGAGGACGCTTCTGCGCCACCATTACCAGACGAACCACTCCCACCACCGCTACCCAACGAGGCTCCTCCCGATGAGGACGATGGCTGGGAGCCCGTCTGGGATGCGACCGCTCAAGCGTACTACTTCTACAACCGCTTCACGGGCGTTTCGCAATGGGAGAACCCACGGGTGCCGGAAGCCGCATCAGCATCAGCACCAGCACCGGTGCCTCTCGGCGACGCCGCGGAAGGCGTGAAGGAGAAAGACCCCGTCGTAGGCGGCTACAACCCGGCGATCCATGGTGACTACGATCCCACCGCGCCCTACGCGCAGCAGTATGAGCCCGCCCTCGGAGGTGCTTCTGCGGGGGATCCCAGTGGCTCGTACGAGGCCGTTGGTGCGTTCAACAGGTTCACGGGCCGGTGGCAGCCTGCCTCTCTGACGCCGGAGAACTACAACGATGAGAATAAATCGCGGCGGCAGATGAATGCGTTCTTTGATGTGGATGCGGCTGCCAATGCCCATGACGGGCGGAGTCTCCGGGCGGAGCGCAGTGCTAAGAAACTCACCAAGAAAGAGTTGAAGATGTTCAAGGAGAAGAGAAGAGAGAAGAAAGAGGAGAAGCGGAGGGCGTGGTTACGCGATTGATGCGAGGAATGGTATTGTTGCTTTCGTACTACTGCTGCTAGACTTTTGAGATACCTTTTGATTCTGTGCATGGGGTTGGGGGCGTTTTGACAGATGTACTATATGGGATTGCATAGCATAGAAGCAGAGCGCTTTTTCCTCTTCTACAATGGCCTTCATGCCCACAAAATTCCGTAATCTTGCTAGTCTTGCACCATTAGGTAGAGCCATCCAAAGATTCCCCACAATTGGTCACGTGTTCATGATATCGAAGTTTCTTTCGCAACAATCAACGAGTATACAGACGGGATATTGAGAAACGCGGAGGTATATAAACTTTTCAGATAATCTCGGGTCATAAGGTAAGTAAGTTCTACATTTTGTCTGCGTGTGGCAGCCGTTTTGGGATATCAACTTTTGCGAGTGCGCCTTATCAATATATATCAAGCATCTTGGAGGGGCACGATGTATTCTACAGAATGTACCTCTATGACAGAAGATGATCGCTATTGATTGATATCCCATGATCTCTATGTCCAAGTTTCAACTGTGATTCAACCCACCTATTGTTTCTGCATGTTCGCTGAAAAATTTTCTCATCCGGCTGCCATCCGTAGAACCGCTTCACGCATGGGAAAAAAAAAGAAACTTTATATTAATAACTAACCAAGTCACAGATACTAAATAACTGCATTGGAGGCTGCATCTAAAATCATATAGAGCACAAGCCACATCCAGAAGCATTTCTTCCTAGAATTTTCAGTTACTCCAAACAAAAGAAACACAGACGGTGCAAGATGTCCACATCCACTTCGACCCCAGTCACGCTCTCCTTCGAGGCAATTGACGACCTTATCTACGACGCCCGCGCAGGCGACCTGGACGCCCTCAAGGCAGACCTCGCCGCCCAAGGCAAAGAGCACAACTGTCCCGAGGCCTGGATCATCGCCTCCGCCATCGACGCCGAGCCCGAGGCCGAGGGCGGCACGGGTTCCTGCCTGCTGCATTTTCCTGCGGCGAACGGCAATGCTGGTATGCCCAGCCTCTATTCGACTCAACTCTACTCTTTGATTTTGTGGATGGCCCGGCTAACAGATACAGAAATCCTCAACTTTCTTCTGGCAACTCTAACCGCGCAGTCTGCGGCGCCGCTGTCGGCGGAGCAGATCGCGGCTGTGATTAACCATCGCAATCACTCGGGGAATACTCCGTTGCACTGGGCTGCGCTGAACACGCACCTGGAATGTGTCAAGGCGCTTGTTGAGGCGGGTGCGGATATCGCTATTAAGAATGATGCGGGGCTGGATGCTATTTTCCTGGCGGAGCGGACGGCTTGGTCGACTGAGGAGGAGGGCAAGGAGGCTGAGGGTGCCGGGGAGGCGTCTGCTGAGGAGGAAGGTGCTGGGGAGATGTCCAAGGGTCGGCAGGTTGTGGAGTGGTTGCTGAGCTCTGATAAGGCCGGTGACTTGGAGGGAGGTCTCAGTGTCAGTGCCGGTGTTGGTGCCGAGGGGTCAGCGTCAGCGTCAGCGTCAGCGTCAGGGTCTGGGGAGGCGATGGATGTTGATGAGAAGAAATGATTACGACTATCCTGTCCTGTTTGTTGCTTCCGAAGTAAATATTTCTTTTGTTACGAATACCATTAGACAAAAGTTCTGAGTTGACACCTTAACGATGTAGGTCCATTCGATGTATCTAGGTCTAGTTCGTATGTTCAGCGTCGCTCAGTCTATCTATAGTGATATGTAAACATGAAATGTACTGTTAGTCGCGTCGAGCCTTGGCTCGAACGTCTCGAGAACTGCCTTCCCGACTGGAGGCAGATACGCGCGAGGCTGGACTGGAGAAGGAACCTTCCATCTGCACGCCCTTCCCATAGCTGATTTCCCGGACTTTCATATCAAGATGAACCCGGAATCGTCGGTCACGCCATTGAACAGTGACTCCCCCGTAGAAGGCCCAAATCCAGATGGGCAGAGCGAGCGTCTCTCGGCCCAGCCATGCCGCAAACCAGTGGAGGAACGGCCGCCTCGTCCGTCGGCGTGCGGGAGGTTGTGCGAAGTAGGGCGTATCGTCGTTCAGCTCAACAGTCTTCGCGGAATGTAATTTGATGTACAATGTCCAGTCGACCAATATCCAGGCAGCGATGCTCAAGAAGAAGAATGTGAAGAACGCCGTCCACGAGCTCATCTGGCCTGCGAACCCCAACCCTTTGCGCTGCAGGAATTGAGCAAGAGATGTAGTGACACCCCATGCCCCGTACAGAGAACAGAGGATTGATTCCGTGCCTGGCTCAACCAAGGTCGCAAGAAGGACGGTAAACTTGCGCACGCGCAGCCACCGAACTCGACGTGCCATATAGCCCCGGACACTCATGCTCGCGACAGGCTGGATGGCAAGGTCGCCAAAGACCATGCCATGTTTGCCCCAGCTTTCACCTTCCTTCTCTTCCCGTACCTGCTTTTTCCAGAGCAGATCGCCAATCAGGTGATCCTCGCAGATATTGTCGGAGAAATAATCAATACCGGGACGGCGTGGCTGCGGGTCCGTAGGGGATGGTTTGGTCAAATAGTCCAGATGAGACCGGCGAAACATGTTGGATTTTCCAACAATGCACGGGGCAATTAGAACCGTGTTGATGGCAGTATACATCTTCGCATGCGAGGACGACAGAAACAACTCCTCTAATCGACCGCCTCCAGTCGCAAGCCAGCCAACTTCCCGGTGCTGTTGCTCAATCATGGCAAAAGCGTCGCGCCTCTCGGAAGCAGAATCGCCTTGGGCGCACGCTTGAAGAAGGGCCTGCCGCTCCTCCCTCAAACCGCTAGTCCCCGTCACATCCACCGCCATGGGCAAGTGGTGTACGAATTTGTACTTCCTGCCCGGTGTGTCCCCAAGCCCACATAGTCTGTCCACCATCCGCCCACAAACCCCTCGTCCCACCCACACGTTGCAGTCTAGGATCCATACAATATCACCCTTGGCCTCTCGGTAGGCACGGCTCATGTTGCGAATCTTGGGATTGGGCCCCAGATTGTAGTTGGCTGCATTGTTAGGCTGGAGTAAAGGATCCTCGTCTTCAATGTAGATGTGCGCGTCGGCGTGCGGAAAGTCTGACAGAAGCTTCTGCAGCGTGGGGTAAGCGGGGTCTGCTCGAGACGAGACGCAGAAGTAGACGGTCAGTTTATCACGGGGATAGTCTTGATAGAAAGTCGCAGCCAGGCAGTCGTAGAGATATGGCTCAAGGCCTTTGACGGGCCGAATCGCGGTGACGTGAGGGGCACTGGGGGACGAGGCTGCATGGGATTTCCGAGGTCTGCGTGAGAAGTGCATCCATCTGTCCACGTACGACACATCAGTTCAAGTCGCAGGAGGCAATTGATAAAAAAAATACATTTGAAAGTATCCCAGAAGACAGACGGCGAACACTGTCGTATACCAGATCAAGCACACCCAGCCCACTGCAGTCGACCACGCGAGTTCGCCATGTCTGACGGCGGATCCGACATTCAAGCGACTCAATTGCGATTGAAGCTCTAGCATGGGCGAAGACGACGACAGAGAAACGACTGAGAGAGGACGCAGACGTTCAGAGAGGACATTCTACTGGAGACGGGCGGTGGAGAAATTCGACAGAAGTGAAAGTGGTAGCCGGAAGCACTAGGAATATCATCGATGCTGCTCCTCGACAGATTGACAACAGTGCCGCCAAGCTATAGTGTTATATTGTCATGGCCCTATGGGAGAGACATGCTTGCATAAGCGTGTCACTAATTTGAACTAATTGGGTTGGTTTCCACTCGGATGCAACGGTTCATCTTGTTGACTGTGGCACGATGGGGAGACGCGCCAGCTCACAGCCTCAATTCAGGCAGCGCAATAATCACATTGTGTTAGAACAATGACAAGCAACTAACATCTAGTTACCGAGTCTCATACACTAGCTCACTGATTATTTCACAGGTCTACCTCTCTATTCTGAAAAGAAAAAGGCGGATTTGTTTCATTATTTTATCTTTGATCGTTTGCAATAGCACCGTAGACTCAAAATCAACACAAACGGAGACCCAATATCTTAAAAATAAGCAAATCCCTCAATGCTAAGTATGAATTCCCTACGCTGCTCTAATGACACCAAAGCAACCAATACCCTGCTGACCTATGCAGCTGTCGCGCCAGCTCGAGAAAAAAAGGATACACCGAACTCCGAGATCGCCATTCCATGCAGAGCGCAGTGATGCGAACCTACGTCTTCTTCTTCTTTCGAATTAGGTTGGCATTGAGCACATTTACTCCGGATGCCTGATTCGCCTGGACGGAAGCTCGATTGACCTCTTCAGAATCCCCTGGAGCACCTCCTACCTCCCCTGGCTTGTCGCTTTCCGCACCAGCCGTTTTGCGCTTTCGAACAAAGGCTGTGTTGATGACATTTGTAGCGTCCGTGGGTTTCTGACTTAACTCTGTCGTAGCATTCCTCCCCTCAACCCGCTGACCAACCCAAAGCTGATCAGCGAGCGAGGCGACTTTCTCGGCCCATGCCTTGGTACTGGCGATAGCTTTATCCTTGGTGTCAAAGTCTTGATCGATAAGAAAGTTGATTGCCGCCTTGTAGTCTTCCTCACTCAGAACTGCGTGTCCTCGGCCTGTGTCTGGCCAAAAGAACGCACTGGGGCCCGTAGCTTGCTGTACTTTGGCATGGGTATCGGAAGACGAGGCACTGGGTTGGATGATTGATGATGTCTGGAGATCACTTGTGGGGGGTTGCGATGGAGCAGAGGCAGACGCTACTACATCCTTTTGTTTGGTCGCATCGTGGGTTGTCTGTGCAGATTCAGGAAGAGCCTTCTCAACATCCCGCGAAGCAACACGAGAGCTCGTCATTTGAACTGAATTGACAAGACCTGGTGGATTAATGACAAGCCACAAGAACCCAACTAATCGGCCGGCCGAACATTCCTGTCGAAAAGACATCATCTCCCAAAACTGCGCAAGAGACTTCACGCTTCGCCAATGACCAGAGTTGTCCTTAGAGCCTTCAGCTCCCGTCGACTCTGGTAGTTCATCGTCCAAATCAATCAGAAAGCGCGTCTTGGGGTCATCTGGGAAGCGAGGAACGAGACACCGTGGCGGAGCGTTGGGATTATCACAGAGCTGATGGAGAGGGTAGCTATTTAACCATCTCGGCCGATCCTTGTCATCAGATCTCGCTGTGATTGGGAAGAAGCCCCGAGTCTCGAACTTGTCGCATCCTGGAACGATCAGAAACGCTGTTGCTGAACTCTTCGCCGACTCCTTAGTTTGATCAAGCAGTGCCTTTTCATGAGAACCCGTCTCGGGCTCATATTCTCGTAGGATGGGGTCGATGACACGACACCACCATTTGATCAAGCCGCGATCATCCAAGACATGCTTTTCAGGGTTCTCGATGCTTCCGGGAAACAAGTACTGATTCTGGGCTCGGGCAAACAACGACACCATCAACCGGACTCCTGGCCGTTGGCGGGTTTGCACAAGAAACGATAGAAACGCATTTGAGATAAGTCTAAGGAGTGAGACCTTGGGCGCATTCTTCAGTAGATGCAGGTAGCCAGTTGAATCGGCCTTGGAGACAAAAATGGTTGTCAGATGCGCAGTGCCGTAGACCAGCACTTCGATCCCAAAGACGATCACTTCCGACTCCTCGTTTTCATCGGGGCTAATTGAGACTGCGAGGAAATGATTCTCACAGAAAGTCGACTCAGGTTCTTCGCCTGGTGGAGCTGCGAAGAGAGCCGCACACGGGCTTGGGGCTGACGAGATATGGCGGATCGTCACCTTTACCCCGGTGGGGAGTACCTTGGCCAAGGAATCCCCCAGGTCGACATCAACTTTCGACATTTGAGCCGTCAGAAGCTCTTATTAGGTTGAGGTATTTCAAAAGAAGAGATAGCCGTGCGTGCTCAATCCCAGCCTCAAGACGCGTTCCAATACACGGGCGCGTCACGTGTCATTTTTCTCTTGAACTTCTGGCTGGTAAAGGAAGAATGAATTCTACAAAGGAGGAGATGTCTCTTACTCAGATACAAGTTTATTATTATGGCCTTATATGATTAGTTCTAATTAGTGTGCCCATTGGAAAGCTCGCTCTATTCATAAGACTGCTCGGTGAGCAAAATGCAATCAACCCAAATGCAGGCAAACATGGTGGAGTTATTGATGCTTGACAGTAAAGCTTATCATAATGTTCAGAAATAACTGGCCGCAGCGTCGAGGTCATCAGCGTTCAGGAGCGCAACACCCTCCTTAAGAAGAGTTCTCCAGACCGAATTACGGGTCCTGATGGGATAGCTGGGCGTCTCCCAATATCTGGCTCCAATGCCCCTTTCCTTTGCGGTCGCGACTTGCGAGCGGAGAGTGCTGAGTTGCTTCTCTGTCAATATCGCTTCAGAATCATCCTGCGAAACTGTGCCAATGGCATCCGCAAAGCTCGTAGACGCGATGGGCGAGATCAGATCTGTGATGCCGGCATTCTCAGGCTCGTTCAAGGACTCGAGGTGAGCATCAAAGAAGTAGTCCCGATTTGCGACAGGCGCAACCATGTCGTAGGGCGTGTTGCCTGTGCCGATCACGGTAATGGGGCCGTTGGTGATGGTCTTGTTATCCTTCAGAGTTGTCAAATAACCATGCTCACGGAGTGGTTCCAAAGCGTCAATCGCAGCCTTGAAGGTCTCATGTCCAGCGGTCTTTACATCAATGAATAAGTAAAGCGTTTGGGAGACCGCAGTGTCAAACACGCCACTGATCAAGAGCATCAGTTCTGTGGAAGCGAGACGCAACGAAGCTAAACTCACTTGTTTGTGGGAGACGTCACAAAACGCGATTGTGGATTCTGGCGCTTGAGGACATCGAGAATTGGATTAATGTACAATGATTCCAGGGTTCTCTCTTCTGTTAGAGAAGACGTATCATGACCGACCTGTCCGATGTTAGAAGAAGTCAACCATCGCTTGATGACTTTGTACTCACATAGAGTGTACCATTGTACAGCCAGACATCCGCTTCCGTTGAGATGCATCCTTTTGAAAGACCTGGACGCGATCAGACAAAAGCCATGCATACAATGTGAGGTAATCAAAATGCTGCCTTACCGGAGTAGAAAGGAACATCTCTCCAATAATCGCTGCCCAGAGAATTAGAGCCATCCTTAAAGATTAATAAAATCTTGTCTTGACTTACTTGTGGGAATGAACTGGAATCTTATGTCAAAGCAAATCGCACTCGATTAGCTCAATGTAGCCTCCAACAATTGCATGGACACAACGATTGAGAACTCACAGGGACAATTCCCCTGGTAAAGTCCGTAGGATATCCGTACTCCTGACTTCTATGGGTATTCTCGAGGACGTTCTGAAGGCCCGTCGGAAGGCCCAATACCATATCTGGCAATGCAAGGATAACGGCGGATGCCGTGAAAAGCAGCGAGTGTGGCAGCAAAGTCATTTTTCTTTGCGAGCAACAGGCAAGTATAATTTGTTGATTGAAAGTTCTAAGAACAGGACAATCTCTACGAGACTACAATGCGATTATATTTCAGAATGGGATGTGATGGATCGAGACGATCCCCCCCCAACGCCAAGTATTGATGCCGAGACAGGACTTGGAGCCAATCCCTGTCTCACGTGGAGTACAACCTCACCACAGCCATGTTCATCAGCCAAGACAGGTACGATGCGGAAGCACAGGGATTTTATGCCAAGTAAAATGTATGACAAATTCCTTCCTCTATCTGGGCTTAAGTTCTCGTTCACGCCATCAGATGAGACCGGTTAACAGTTGTAGAACATATATGGATTAACCACAATTGATAACTATACAGCAGCCAACATGGCCGGCAATCTACAAGTCGAAGCACCAAATAATCCTAATGAGAAGCTTTGAAAGCCTATGCATCTGAAAATAACATCACATATCCCAAACACTGCCAGCCGGTTGGGAGAAGAAAATACAAAGGGACCAAATGCTCTATACTTCTCGGACAGATGGTGGTCTTGAGGCGCTCTGCGAGTCTTGTGTACTGCTGCGCCTGAGACTCAAATTCCCGATACGCTGCACCAAGTTGCTTCCAACCGCGTCGACTGCGCCTTTGGGAGCGAGCAAACTTGGACCTTGCGCGGCCGCCTCCTGAACCCTGAAGAGTTTGATTCCTGTTCCGTTCCACACGCCAACAGTGCCGGGGGTAGCTCCAGATGCTGTGCCAACCACCATCTCGCTAGAGAAGATGAAGCCCCACAGCAAAGTCTCATACCAACCCAAAGACAGGGCTGACCATTCAAAAGAATGTACCCGTACAGGTGGAGGCTCTGATAAAAGCCCTTGGATAGTGGGCTCTTCTGCAAAGGAAGGAAGATTCGCAATCAAAGTGCGAGCTTCCGGGCTTGACGCGGTCTGGAAAGCCGAATCGGGAATGTGAGGAGCAATGGCCGAAATGATAGTGAGGATAGTGTGAAGAGGAAGCTCTGGTAGCCACGACTCAAGCTAAAAGTCGGATTGTTAGAAGAATTCGACTTGAACTACACGCACACAATCGAGTGAGACTTACCCAAGCAACAGTCGGCGTAAAACCGCTGGACGCGGAGAAAATGGCGGACATGCTACTTTGACTGGTGATGCTGTTCTGCCGGGAAAACGATGGCTGCCCAGCAGGCATCTTACCTCTGGCCTTCTCAGACATTCCCCGTAACTGTAGTGGGACACTTTCATCGATAGTCGATGAGATCGAAGGCCGTCTTGAGTTCTGCAGGGAGGGTGAAGACTGCGATGGCGTGTCTTGCCCGTCATGTTGGTCATCCGATTCGTCACCGCCAATAGCGAAAGGGCTATTCTCTTCGGGAATACGAGTCAAGGGCGAACGTGCACCCGACGACACATGAGGATCCTCTTCAGCCTGCGACAGCGTAGGGCTAGAGGACGAGTCGCGAGATGCAGCTTTAGCTTTTCTCCTTTCATTTTGGCGTTCAATTTCTTGCTGTCCACTTTCGAGAGTGAAGGCTCGGACGGCTTCGAAACGTTTCCTGTATTTTAAGATGGCATATACTAGGAACGGGTTTTCTGCGACAGTCAGTCAGCGAGCCAAGCCGCTACAAAAGTGAAGCCATAGCGATACTTACTGGTGAATTGGTGTTCAAGGATCGAGTTTATGGACTCAAGCACTGACGCTAGGAGGGCATGGTTCGTTTCGTTAGCTAGGAGGAAACTGGGAGCGGACATCGAGGAGAAGAGCTGCAAAAGTCTGGAGCATGTGGCTGGCGAAAGATGTTCCAAGTAAGGAGCCACGTTGTTGATGATCGCTAAAAGAGCTGGATAGACAGCATTCAGCTTGCCTTTGCTTGCGGTAAGCAGTGTATGGATGGACTAAAAGACGTTTAGTACGGTCTCGCATAATGAATTCGGCGAAAGACAGACCATAACCAGGTAATCACCATAGGTACCCCTGAAGCCCGGGATACGAATGTTCTGAGGTAACGTCTCCTGAGCCTCAAATTTCATGTTGAGACTTTTTCCAAAATTCGGTTCGACACTCATTGTTTGTAAAATAAAGATGCACATTCTCACAACGCCTTGCTTGGATGCGTCAGATTTGTACTCGATAGCGTAAAAGATACAGAGAATGGCAAAGTCATGGGAGCGACTCGAGTCAATGATAAATGATCTGAATCGCTTGTTGCACTGAAGGGCCTCCCAGAACAAGATGAGCATTTCCGGAGCCCATTTGATAGATTTCTGGCTGCCTGGAAGGTAAGAGTTCGTGACTTGCATCTGCCACTTCATCAGAACTAAGCACGGCCGATTAAAGAATGCAGACCCACAGGTTGGTTCAAGATTCTAGTCATGCCATCGACAAGGAATTGAAAGTCCTGCGGTCGGTGCAGCCGACCAAAGTAATGGCGATAATAGTTCTTCGGCGGTGTTCCACGACCATCCTCTGGGATAGGATATAGGAGGAGAACAAGAAGAAATTGTAGACAGTATATAACCAAGATCTGCTTGGAATCTTTCCAGACCACATGGTCATATGGAACCCTCCATGACGCAGGATTGTACTTGATAGACTGCGTGAGAGCGTTGTCAATACGAGGCAATAGACAGAACCATAGATCACTGTACATACAGTATTTAGCAATGAGCATAGCAATGTGAGGACGACTTGCTTGTCAGGGCAGGTCGCAATGTAGGTAATGGCCTTAACACCTTGAACAGGTAGGAGACCTGCAGGGTCGTCAGCTTTGCGTCCCATAACAAAGACAAAGAATCTTACTCAGCGGCATGTACATTGCCTTTCCAGTCAATGTAAGCAATAGTCGCAAAATCTCGCACCGGTTGCTTTCGAGCTCTTTGTTGGAGCCCATAGAAGTATTGCAGCCAACACCACTTTGCCATATCGAGTACGATACCTTACCCTTAGCCGTTGGGAGCTTTGGGATCGTAAAGTCTGTATAGAATAAAAGATCCAGCAGGTTGTCAATCAACTCCTCGGCCAAGGGCTTCACATCTTCGTAGTCATTGGCCCGAGGCAACGTCTCCTCCTGGCGCCCTTCAGCCTGCGCTTCATCAAACAGGACTTCTGCTTCCAGTCGAGCTTCTCTAGTATTCTTCTTGCGTCGACCCCAAAAGAATTTCTCCTCCCATTCTTCTAGGTGCTCAGCCTCGTAGATGAAGGGAAGGATTCGCGTGAGTATGCGGATACAGTTGAGAACGTCTCTCTCGGGAGCGAGGTCGGAATCTGGAAATGACGGATGATTCTTCAGAAAGGTAAGACGAGAGGTTATTGAAAGTAATAGTGTCTCCAAATTAGGTAATGCATGATCGCGCGTCCGTCGTATATCTGCGGGGGTGAATAAGCTGAATACATCCTCTGTCGACTCCGGGAGCTCCCAGAACTACACTCAAGCAGTTAGCGAGTGATGATGACAAGAGACCAGGTCTTATGACAAGAGAGACAAACTCTGGACCAGTAAGGATCATCAGCAGGAATGTCCTTCTCCTCTGACAGACGGAAGATTCCCTGCTTGAAGACCAACTTCGACTCCGAGGCTCCCATAGTGAAGCGACACCGGCGCAGGTTGATGAGTTTATAACTTCATAGGGTGTTCAGAGGAAAGGAAGAAGAATCAATACGGAATTCAAGCGCTCTCACTGAGGTTCTTCTTATATATATCGCTAAATGGAAGTGCCAAATGTGGGCAAGCTGATTGTATGTTGGTGTTGTGGTTCGCTGGGCCCGTCACGGCGGGAAGTTACTTCTTGGACCAACGGAGACCGAGCTCGGCCATGATGCGAGTTTGAACAAAGAGCCACAATCAAGAGCTTAAACCAATCCGCCGACCACGCTACCGGAGTTTATAATATACTTTTTTGAAGAAACAAAGCAACTTCAAGTACTGTTAACCTCTATGTAGGTTGTGAAATTAACGCTCAATCTAATAAGCTCAATGTACACGATGCCTTCCATTCGTGACTGCGCCGACGCCGATCAGCCCAAATTATAGACTCCCGTTACTAGCAGAGAGTCGCCTACTTCTTTCATACAACCATTTGTTGCTCAATCCCAGGTTCGCGCGCTTGCCCCCCACGGGCGAAGGACTCGCAGGTCCTATGCTAGACTCCCCGAAAAGCGAGCTGCGACTGAATGTCGAAGAAGACCCGAAACTTGGCCGTCGCCCGCTCTCCTTGCCTCCGTTCGAAACGGCTTTGTACAGCAGCGGACTTGTCGATGGCGAAAATGATGCGCCCGACGAAAGTCTACGCCCTGAAAGACCGGCACTTCCGGATAGGGGCGACGATGCACCTTTGCTGGCTGGAGTCGCGGTTCTCGAAGCAGACAGTCGATACCTCGGTGGTGTAATGTACGTAGTCCCCGGTGTAAGCGGTGGAGTCGCGGACGGATCAAGCCCGAGGAGAGAACGTTGTGTAGGAGTGAGAGGGATATCGGAGAGGTCATCTTTCGGTCGGAACAAAGGGTATAATGCAACCAGGATGTTCAACGCAAGAATGAGCTGCACGACGTGTAGCGCGAGGTCTGGATAAGCGGGGTACTGGCCCAAGTTCTGTAGGCGAAGCGAACTGCAGAATCTTGGTCAGAAAGATCGAATTGCAATTATGCTCGAACCAACAGGGCTGTCGCTCACTATGATTTAACCGTGTTTCCGAATGCCCAGGTTGCAACCAAGGCAGCCCCATTCCAAATAAGCTTTCGAATATTGCGATCACCGAATGTTCCAGCATTCTGTCGCCTTACAACTTCATTGAGACGAGGATGGCGCCATTTTCCAGGCGTCCGTGAGGCGTCGGGGACAGGGGCGAGCAMCGATACGGCTCTGGGTGTAGATGGAGCAGATTGGGAGGCCATTGATATTTGCCAGAAAAGAAACAGAAAGGCCGCTAGCTGAAATCAGAAAACACGAATCATGATCGCCAAGAGTACTACGAGGGACTCACCTTGAAGAAACAGCGATCAGTTTGTGCGTTAAAACTTACCTTTGAATCGACCCGACGAGCTGGACTTGTATCGTGTGTACATTTGCGTGTGGTCGTGCAGGCGTCTCAATGGTCGACCTGGACCATCACTGCCGATATAGCAACGGCTGTTTGCGAGTTAAGATGTGCTGATCGGAAATGTGTGAGTATTGTTTTGACGCGACGCTCAAGAAGAGTCGCAAGAATGACCGCTTAGTGGTCACAGGCAACAGACGCCGCTGCCGCGAAGTTTTCAAGCTAACCTCCGTAGCTAGACGCGGCTCTCGGTCCGTTCCCCACATACACAACGACCCCGTAAGCAGCTGAACCCCCTCACGTCATTTCGTTCATCCATCTTCCGAATGGGACTACGACGCCTTGAAACCAATCTCTAATTAACTCGTAGCTCTCGGTTTGATAGATCATCCTCTAAATTCAAGGGCTTCGCACAATGGCCTCGGAATCCTCAGCCTTGGCGAGACTGGATGCCTTGGCCTCTGATATTCTAGCTGACTGGAACATTTACACAACTTTGATCGCATGCGCTCTGATTGCGTTCACCGTATACTCTTTTGTTTCGTCGAAAGACGCCGATATCCACCCTTTCTTACTTGCTCGTCAATCAACAGCTTTCCCTGTACGTCAACCCGGAGAATCAGCGGCATATAGAAGCCTAGAGACTCCGCACGGATACCCACTCAGATCGGGACTCAATATCAAGGACCCTGGTGCACCAAAATGGACGGCTGGAAGAAGAGGTGACCTCCGTGATATCTGGAAGGCTGCTGTGCGTGGTGCAGTTTCAGAGAGTGGTGCAGTCTCTGGAAAACGAGGAAAGATCTATACGGTGCTTGGAAAGAAAGCCGTCGAGCATTCTTTGGACCAAGTCACACAGGAAATCAATGTCATCGGCCATTGTCTGCGGGAATCTGGCGTCAAATCGGTTGCTGTGTGTCTGACAGACTCGGTTGAGCTCCTGGCTGCCATTTTTGGTTCGGGCCCTTCGGTTCTTCTTCCAAGTACATATCGAGCTGACTTGATGATACCCAGCTGGTGCCTTCTATGGCTTCAAGACGATTATTGTCCCTCACAACCTCGAACCTCAAGTCCTCTCTGCTCACCTGGAAAAGTCGCAGGCAGATGCTTTAATTGCGGAGGCCGGTGCCCTGGACTTGTCCCTGGTGGCTAAGAACAACAAGCAACTCTCTCAGGTCATTTGGGTCGCCAAGATTGGAAGCCAGCACATGGACTGGAATCAAGTGCCAGGGGATGTCCAGGAAAACTTGGAGGTAGCCGTATGGCATGAGTTGGTTGAGGAAAAGAAAGACCTGACCGGCTTAGACGTTCCCAGCTGGGACCCCAACTCTCCTGCGCCCTCTGTGACCACTGTATGGCCGACGAAGTCTCAAGTGGGCGATTTCATTGAATTCCAGCCAGAGGTTAGTTTTCTCGTCTCAGAGTTTCCCCCTGCAACCACTGCTAACGCCAACCAGAACCTTGTCGCCGGAATCGCGGGATTGACCTTCTCCTTGCCTCGGAATCAGCGATTCAACCCCGACGATCTGGTCCTTTCGATCGATTCTCTCTCACGTTCATACCCACTGTGCCAGATCATGAGTGCACTTTTTTCGAATTCTTCTATCGCTCTCAACTCTGTTGCTGGCGAGGGCGTTGATTTTGCCTTGGCTACTGTTGGAGTATCACCTACCGTCATTGTTGCTTCTTCCCGCACCATGTCCGAGTATCATGCCAGGCACATGGAACCCCAAGCTGGCGTCCTAACGTCCATCGCCCGCTGGTCCCAGCTGCGCAAACTAGATGCTGGAGTCATGCCTTCTCGTGGCCTACTAAATCAGGCTGCTAGTATCGGACCAACCGCTGAACTCTCCCTCGAGAAGCTCCGCCTGTTATGTGTCTCCCATCGGGCTGATGCCGACCCGGCTGCGCGCTTGACACCAGCGCAATTGGCAGACCTCAAAATCTTCCTAGGTGCTCGCGTTGTGTACGCCCTGACTGGCGCGGGCGTGGCAGGTGCTGTCTCCCAGACCAACGTCTTTGATTACCGACGCTTCACGGGACCGAGCCACTTTGGTGCCCCCTTGAGCTCTGTTGAGCTTCTTTTGACTGGCGTGTCCGATGAAAACCCACTCCAAGGACAGGTGGGTGCCATACTTTCAATTTTTTACCCTTTCCCTGTTCTTGCTTTATTCGGTTAACTGACTGCTCCCGAATAGATTACTGTTTCTGGCCCCGCTGTTGTCTCTGGTAAAACCAGTCTTTCGTCGCGGGGCCGCATACGAGAGGACAACACCTTGGAGCTTTCTCTTTGAAACTATCCATATCTCAGGTTATGAAATTGACAGCGCATGTATTTCGAGTGTGCCCTTTTACTTCCTTCATTTTCCCTCCCATAGGCTACTGAGCCACTGCCTGTTTTCAAGATGGATCGCTAGTCCTTTGATTTCAATGTGGCAAGCGCTGCCATTCCACAGATAGGATGAATGGCGAATACAATATTGAAACAAATTCTAAGGTGGTAATATACATATCATGAAGAAGCCAATGATGTTGGAACAGGGTCAAGGCTAATGCAGAAGCTGGCTTTGTCGATAGCCAAGCGACGGCTTTTGCTGGACTTTCTCGGGGGCCATTTCCTTATGGTTAGCAATCAATAGACTCAATTGGTTCAGGCGTCTCTTTAGAGGACCAGACACAGCTTTGTCACTTGCGACGCCCTCAACCTGAAGGGCGAGCGTAATTCCGTTGTAGATAGGCACGTTCTCCTGGAGCATGCGATCGACTGTAACCCAGTCCGTGACCTCGCGGAAAAAGTTGCCTGCCTCCCAGTTCGCCATGAGACGCTGAGCGTAGGCACGCACATCGCCGGACTCATCCTTGCCTCCCAGTTCATTCACAGCACGAGCAGCGCTAAGCTCAAGGAGAGTACCAATGACAAATGGTTGTCGTTTGGGATCTTCTTGTATGTTCTCGACATTTCTCCGGGAATGCTCCGGAGCTTCCATCAGCGCGGCAAACTGCTTAGCCATGCTAAGCGCCTTGGAGACTGCGGGATCCTTGAACTGCTCCTTTTGAGCTTTCCGGTGGAGCTCGAAGAAGATACGGAGGACGATTCCGTTGTCGTTCAATCGAAGACCAGTCCGTTCCGCCTGCTTCGCGCATTCGAGGATGGCACCAAGTGCGTCGGCCTCACCAGCTTTGCGCACAGTCCACTCCCAGTTCGCGAGGCTCAATCTTCTCTTCGACGTTTGTAGCCCGCCAACAAAAGGTGCAAGGTTTTGCCAGTCTTGCTTGGTCTTCATGAGCAAGACAACGTCCCTGAATTCTTTCTTTGGTGGTCTGGACAGCGGATCCATGGGCCGAAGTTGGTAAGGCTCATCGTTGTCGCCAATATTTACCGTCACTGGTTGCTGCTCAAGTTTCTCCGCATATTTCTTTCGAAACATTAACCTCCTTTGCTCAGTATTCAAGCCAAAAGGTATGAAAAGCTCTTCTCGGAAACGTTTGAGGGCCTGGTCTAGTTCGGGGGAAGACGTCGAAGGGAAGGTGGGAATTGCTAATTGCAAATCATGTCAGCGAGTTTTGCCACGCGAGGTCGTCCGCTGCTGATTTAGAGGTGTGCTTACCATTATGTGAATATGTACGACTTTGTGTAATAGACCCAATGGATTGACGCAGATAGCTGCTGGTCTGGCAGCGGAAGAGCCTGCCAACGGCGCTTTGCGCCATTTTATGTCTCCTCTGGAAGCGAAATTGACGATAGTACGCTTTTATGAGATAGGAAACCAAGGTGCTGGATAACCGAAATAGGATCCAGAATCGATTCGAAAGCTGTGTTGAGTTTATTTTCTGGACAAAATTTCCCCGGCATATCGAACTCTTGGTGAGACCCGAACAGGCAATTTGAGGCTTGGCGGAAATTCTGCCGGACCGGATCAACCTCCGCCAGCGAGAATTGCGGTCTTTACAAGATTCTATCACAACCACGGAGCTGACCATCACGCTCAACTTCTACACTGATGGCGACCTTTTCTCCCATATTGCGGCAGCTGGGCTGCTCGAGGTCCTTTATGAAGGCAGACGGATTGCTGCGACCCCAGTTCAGCCGGTCCATCAGCACCGCATATTCCCCGAAGCCAGAGCCTGCACCTCTTCCTTCCAAACTCCCAAAGTCGTTTCTTTCACAAATACCTACTCGGTTGCAACCAAATGCTGGTAATTGAGCCAATTCTCCAGCTTTTCGCCGATTTTGCTTTGGCTAATATCCAAGAACAGGACGCAAGAAGCTCAAAGTCTACCCACCACCCCCGACAACTCGTGCAAATTGCAAAGACCCCGTCGCAGCATTGACAGAGTCTCAACTAGCCGCTCTTGACCCCACTGGTGAGCGTAGGGCTCTGTTTGACTACCGCCGAAACCCCCGAAGCGTGAAAGTGGGCGACATTCTCCGTGTGACGTTCAAAAACGGAGACCCATTCTCGGGTGTGTGTCTCAGCATCCGTTTGCGGGGCATTGATACTTCTTTTCTCCTCCGAAATGAGCTCACGAGGGTTGGCGTGGAGATGGCCGTGAAGGTTTTCAGTCCAAACGTCGAGAGTGTGGAAATTGTACAGAGGACGGAGAAGAGGAAGAGAAGAGCAAGATTGTACTACATGAGGTATGTATCACCATCCAATGATGGGCACCGCCGGGAAAAAGGTTCCTCCTGTGCAGTGAAGCTAATATTTTCCTCTCTCGAATTTACAGGAAGCCAAGGCACGATATGGGAAGCGTCGAGAACATTGTGTCGAACTACCTGCGGCAGAAGTCGGTTCTTACTGGTCAGCGTTCAGCCGGTGCACGGAGACAGAGACGGTGAAATGCAGCAATTTCTATTCTGTCTGTATTATGAATTTGGCGAAATGTATTATACTACTATACTGGCACATGGATATTCGGGAATCGACATTTGTGGGCGCACACATTGAGACTGGAATAGAGACTATTTTCAGTCAGCTTCTACTGCTTTGGCAGTGAGAACTGTCTTCTGGGAAGTACATCGACCTCTGGATAATCCCACATACACCTATAATAAACGAGGTATCATGCTCGGTGATCGGTACTCTATTCCCCCCTTCAGTTTGTCCGGTCGAAAGGAAATGCGCGTGAGGCTTGGACCTCAGCAATGTCTCTGGAAATCCACAAATCGTACAAGCCTACCTTATTATGAAACATGATGCTACCTGGATGAGTGGACAGACGCAACGGATCTTGCAATTGCGGCGATGTAGACAAAAGATCCATAGTGACTAGTGCTATGTCGCATGACGACACCAGACAGTAGTAAGTATTTCGAGTCATACGAAAATTCCGGCAGTCGTGACTTCGCTTACAAGGTGGCTGAATGTTGAAACGGGGAATTCCCCTCAGACGGTTTCTGGGCGCCAACCCAATCTGTCTTGGTCGGCACGATCTCATATGGGTATACCCATTGGCGTCCAGTCCAATGACAGCTGTTCCGTGAACCGATCGCAGGTGCCTAGCCAGTGGGCTGTGCTGTACACATAGATTGCCATGCCAGGAGATCCAAGAGACACCGGTCCCAGCTTCTTGCGCCGAGGTCGCTTAGACAGCATCAGCCTGGTCGTCTTGCGCTAATCGCAAGACGTTCCAATAATAGTCGCGATGACTTCGGGGCTCATCAATTTCGAACTTAACGCTCACTCTTGCTTCTTATGAGATCAAGGATGAGCTCCGGGGTCGGTTGATATCGCTGTTTATCGAACCGCAGGCGACCATGTTGAATCTCTTCTTTAGGCAGATTTGGACGCTGACAGTTAAGAATCTACTCATCGTCTTTGTGCGCCCATCAGTCACAACCACCCTCAGGGCTCTGGTCTTGCCAGTGATTTTCGTTGCTTTCATGTATATTACCCTGTGTTGCCCGTTGTTTAGATGAATGGCCGTCACTAATCGAAGTAGATCCTTCGCAAAGAACCTTTTCATCCCTCCATCAGAGTATGGCGTCGGTAGTCCCACTCCCCTCCGTTCGCTAGGAGCTGCGCTAGGTGCCGTCTCAGGGAATAGAGACAAGGTGGTATTCGTCCACAATGGCCTGACTGGCGGCAATGTTGAGCAAGTCATCAACCAAGTTGCGGATCCCGCAAGGGCCAGCGCAAAACAAGTGCATATTCTTTCGTCGGAGGATGAGCTACGAGAGTTGTGTCGAACGTCGCTTCGTGGAGTGTCATCATGCATAGCTGCGGCTATCTTTTACTCTTCTCCCACTGAAGGACCAAACAGATACTGGAATTACTCTATTCGTACGGATGGTTCGCTAGGTGTTGGGATCAAAGTCAACCGAAACGACAATGATCAGGAGACCTACCTCCTTCCGTTCCAGCATTCGATTGACTGGGCGATAGCGCAGGTCAACTCGACCAACAACGGTAACGCACTACCGAGTCACGTACGCTTAATGAACATGGTGCTTGTGCCTGCTCGACTAATCCTGGTATAGGTTGAGGAATACCCGTTCACGTCCCTTACCCAAAAAGAACAACAGGAACAAATCCGAACCCGCTACATGGGCGCCATTATTGACATCATTGCCGTGGCTATCTTCATTGAAATTGTGGGCGTCACGTACCAGCTTACTGGGCTTATAGCGATGGAACGGGAGCTCGGCATGAGCCAGCTGATTGATTGCATGATGCCCAACGCCTCCAACTGGCAATCGCAAGCTGCTCGGTCCATTGCAGCACACCTAGCTCTGGATATCGTGTACTGCCCTGCATGGATTATCTCAGGTGCAATCCTGAAATTTGGAGTGTACGGCAAGACGTCGGCTGGAATCGTGATAATCTACAATGTTCTGGCCGGTCTCGCATTGTCCTCCTTCTCCGTATTCGGCGCCTCTTTTTTCAGGAAGGCTCAGCTCAGCGGTATCACTGTCGTTATCGTTTGTTTGATTTTGGGAGTAATCGCGCAGCTGGCGCCTGCTTCGACAAACGGTGCTGTTATCATTCTCAGCCTTCTATTCCCACCAATGAACTTTGTTTACTTCTTTGTTCTCATGGCTCGATGGGAGAGGCAGGGTCTCGCTACGGACCTCGTGCGCGCAGCTCCAATGAATCCGTGGACAGTCCCTGGTATAGCCCTCTGGATTCTACTGATTGTTCAAATCATCGTCTATCCCCTGCTGGCCGCCCTAGTCGAGCGAGTTCTTTATGGCACCAAGTCCAAGAGTCGAAGGACAGTGAACTCCGACGGCTCGACCGCTGTGCGTTTAAATGGATTTACCAAGGAATATCGGCCAAGTTGGTTCTACCGAAAGGTTGCTCTGTGGTTTGGAAGCAGCCGACAGAGTGTGCTGGCCGTGAACGACCTGTCCATGGACGTTAGGAAAGGAGAAATTGTGGTCCTCCTCGGTGCAAACGGCTCGGGCAAATCTACGACACTGGATGCCATCTCAGGTTTGACGACAATCACCTCCGGAAGTATCAATGTAGACTACGGCGACTCCGGCGGACGGTTTGGTCTCTGCCCGCAGAAGAACGTTCTCTGGGATACGCTTACTGTGAAAGAACATATCAAGATATTTAACAGGCTGAAGAGTACCGGAGAAGTGGACAGTAATGAGCAGCTTCTGAAATTGTTAAATGACTGTGACCTGGCTCAGAAGGTAAACTCGCGCTCGAAGACGCTCTCGGGGGGTCAGAAACGTAAAGTTCAATTGGCCATGATGCTTACCGGCGGCTCGTCGATTTGCGCTGTTGATGAGGTTTCATCTGGAATTGATCCAATTGCACGCGCCAAAATATGGGACATCCTTCTTGCAGAAAGAGGATCGCGGACAATCCTTTTGACTACTCATTTTCTGGATGAGGCAGACCTTCTCGCCGATCACATCACAATCTTATCCAGGGGTTCGCTCAAGGCGCAGGGCTCGAGCGTTGAGCTAAAGGATAGACTGGGTTCAGGTTATCGAATTCATGTGCTCAACATTCCTGGCTCAGAGAACGTATCTGGTCCACAGTTCGACAGTATCGCAAAAGAGGTCCATTTTGACGATACAGTCTACTACGCGAAGGATTCCGCAGAAGCTTCTCGTCTGATGTCAATGTTAGAAGAAGAAGGTGTCACGGGATATCGCGTCAGCGGGCCGACGATAGAGGATGTCTTTCTCAAAGTTGCAGAAGAGTTGGACTCGGAGAGACCACGAGAAGAGCCTCACATCGCACCGAAGGAAACAACTTACACTGAAAAGAATCCTGGAAGAGGTGGCAGTGAAGGGCTTCAGCTCTTGACCGGAAAACGCATTGGCATGTTCCTTCAGTCGTGGTATTTGTTTCGCAAGAGGGGCACAATATTGCGCCGCAACCCTATCCCATACTCGGCGGCTTTGCTCATCCCAGTCGTTGCGGCCGGACTTGTTACTCTTTTCCTGAAGGGTACTACAAAGGCTGGTTGTTCAGGTGATAGCACATATCATGCATCTGGCTTCGAGTCACTGGCGTCTCTGGACAACGTCAAATTTGTGATTGGGCCTCGAGACAAGGTGTCTACCACCGCTCTTGAGAGCTTCATTGGCTCCCTATCTGGATCAATAGAATCGGCTCAGAATGCGTCTTTGAACCTCGAGTCTCGATTTCACCTGGTGAACAGTCTCACGGAATTCGAAGATTATATATCTCAAAACTATGCCAACATAACGCCTGGCGGTTTCTACCTGGGAGACACATATTCTGCGCCTACATTCGCGTGGAAGGGAGACAACGGTCACTTCCCGCTATCCGCTGTCACTCAGAATGCGATGGATAACTTTTTGACCAACGTGCCCATCTCTTTCCGCTTCCAGTATTTCGACATCCCATGGCAGTCGGATTCTGGGAAGGCACTGCAGCTGATCGTCTACTTTGGTCTTGCTATGTCGGTATACCCTGCTTTGTTTGCTCTCTACCCCACCGTTGAGCGTCTGAAGAATGTCCGAGCGCTGCATTTCAGTAACGGGGTGAGAGGCGCCTCGCTTTGGCTAGCATACCTGGCATTTGACTTCTGCATTGTCGTCGCATCCAGCGTCCTTGCAATAATCATCTTCAGGGCTGTGTCAGATATATGGTACCATGCCGAATATCTCTTCGTCGTTTTCTTTCTCTACGGGTTGTGCGCAACGATACTATCATATGTGGTATCTCTCTTCTCGAAGTCTCAGCTCGCAGCTTTCGCAATTGCAGCTGGCGGACAGTGCGTCTTGTTCTTGATTTACTTCATCGCCTACATGTCAGTATTGACATACGCACCTACCCTGAAAGTCGATGGGTACCTTGAGATAACGCATTTTACCATTGGTCTCATTGCGCCTTCGGGGAATCTTCTTCGAGCAATGTTCACTTCGCTGAATACGTTCTCCATCCTATGTCGAGGACGAGAAATCGCCTCGTACCCGGGTGAGATCACTCTCTACGGAGGCCCAATCCTCTATCTGATATGTCAGTCCTTTGTCCTGTTTGGATTGCTTCTTTGGATTGATGGAGGGCCTGTGTTTTCCATGATGAGGAGAAAAGTCAAGCAGAACCACGTGGAAGAGAAGAACACTGTCGATGGGGATGTTGCCGCTGAATTAGCACGAGTGGAAAACTCAACGGACGGATTACGAGTTCTGCACCTCACGAAGAAGTTCAAGAAGTCTGTCGCAGTGGATGACGTGACATTCGGGGTGCCAAAATCTCAAGTTTTTGCTCTCTTGGGGCCAAATGGAGCAGGAAAAACCACCGTAATCTCTGTCATCCGCGGTGATATGGTACCTTCCGACAATGGAGGAAATATTTTTGTGAACGATATTTCGGTTTTGAAGAATCGTGCAGCAGCGCGCTCCCACCTTGGGGTCTGTCCGCAGTTTGATGCAATGGATCAAATGACCGTCATTGAGCACCTGGAGTTCTATGCTCGCATCCGTGGTGTGGCCGATGTGAAGCACAACGTCACAGAAGTGATGCGTGCTGTGGGGCTTACTCCCTTCCAGCACCGCATGGCAACAAAACTATCAGGAGGTAATAAGCGCAAGCTTTCTCTCGGTATTGCCTTGATGGGCAACCCTCTAGTCCTCCTGCTGGATGAGCCTAGCTCCTCAATGGATGCAGCCTCAAAGCGTGTCATGTGGAAGACACTGGCGTCTGTAGTCCCTGGACGCTCCATTGTGCTGACGACCCACTCCATGGAGGAAGCAGATGCACTGGCAACCCGGGCAGGAATTATGGCCAAGCGTATGCTGGCACTGGGGACAACTGATTACCTGCGGAAGAAGTACGGCAACAAATATCATGTCCATCTAGTCCATTCACAGGCACCGCACACGACGGACGACTCTATGGGACGTATCCGCGATTGGGTGCGAGAGAACTTCCCTGGTGCCGCGATAGAGCAGAAGACCTATCATGGGCAGGTACGGTTCAGTATCCCTGCAACAGCGGCGTCTTCATCTTCAAAGACAGATATCACTGAATATGCCGAGAGTCCTGTCGCCGAGGAAGAAGAGCTCGGACGCGAACTCAGATATCAATCATGGCCTATGGTTGAAGGGGGCCCAAGAGCTGCCAACAACAGCATCGTCAGCACGATATTCTCGAAGCTGGAGCAGAGCAAGGCTGTTCTAGGCGTCCAGTATTACTCTGTCAGCCAAACTACGTTGGACCAAGTCTTCCTCGCCATTGTTGGGCAGCATAATATCCGGGAGGAGAATGCTGGATAGACCCGAACCTTGTCTTAGCTTTACCGGCCGGTTATTCCATTGATCCTCTTCCATTTCATTTTGTTTCTGATACCAACTATGCACCTCTCCTCTCAATCTCTCCTGTGATCGATTGACTTTCCTACAATATCTTTTGTACATATGAATCTGAACTACCAGGGCATAGAAGCATTTTGGCCGGTGTATAAAGTACGGAGCGCATCCTCTCCCACTTCTGCTATCTATGTATCAATATCACAATCTTCCATTCCTAACCCCCACGCTGGTGGTACTTCGGGGCCCCAGGCCATCCTCGCCTCCCGCTGCTGATCGTTTTTCTCCACATCCCCATAAGCTTCGTGCCTTCCATTATCTCGGCAATTCCAAAATCATCGACCTCGTATTATTATTACTGACACTCGTATCAAAATCAGCCGAACCTGAATGGAAGAGTCGCCACGAATTTCGACGATTTCCACCTATCATCTCCCAGACGAGGATGACACGCCTTACTCTCGGCGTTACCCCGACTGCTCGATTACTCCGCATCGGGAATGTCACCTTGCCCATCACCGCGAACCTTAACATTGACCAATGAACCGGCGAACCAAGGAGTCCTTTGTGCTGGCATTTCCCCCCGAAGATCACTGAATCGCAATGGCCAACACCGCTGCATGACGATGTCGACCCCCACGTCGTACTACTGGTTTGTAGCTTTCAACCCCGCAAAATGCGCCGGAAGCAAGGCCGAAGCTTGTGAGCTCCAACCTGGGGTATGGTAGAATCTTTGGCTCGTTCGGGGTGGGGTGGAGATGCTCCAGCGTTGATACTTCCTTATATGGAATTTATGCTTGGGGCGATTTCCAACGCCTCCTATGGCATGATATGAGAATCTGGGCAATGAGCTCTCCTTTGGCTTTTGGGGTCTATCAAACGGCTGCTATTCAAATACCAACTGGACCCAGCTTCATCGAGAAATAGGCTCTGAGACGCCTGTATTTTGAGCTGCTCATCGATATCACCGCTGACTTGCAAGGAAGAAGCAACCACAAGGCAATATGGGCGACACATCTACCGAGCCACAGCATGGCTCCAAAGCCCATGCTGCAGAGACGCCTACCATTATACACAGCGAGAATACTCAGCTTGAACCAGGATGGAAGACGGCGAAGCAAATAGATGGCGACACTGCCATGGCTCTGTTCAACGACCCAGACGAGCTTCATGAAGAGGTAGATCCAGCCGAGGCGAGAAGAGTGCTGTGGAAGATCGACTTGATGATCCTTCCGTACCTTGCCGTCTGCTATGCATTTTTCTACATCGATAAGGTATGTTGGTTTGAAAGTAATCTCAACTTGACTAGACTGATGTTTAATTTGGATATCAGACAACACTGAGCTATGCAGCTATCTTCGGAATCGTGGATGACCTCAAGCTCCATGGAACGCAGTATAACTGGCTCAGCAGTATATTCTACTTTGGTTTCCTAGCCTGGGCTTTTCCTACCAACTTTCTCCTGCAGCGTCTGCCAATCGGTACGTGTTCCATACAGAGATGTCGGATGATAGAATTGTAACCTTTTTCATCCGTGACAGGAAAGTACCTGGGCGCCAATATCTTCATGTGGTACGTAAACCTAGACGGCGGGCAGACCCTCTCCTTTCTTTCTTTCCAAAAGCATTATACTAATGCATATTAGGGGAGTCTTCCTCATGATCCAGGCAGCATGCCATAACTTCACCACGCTAGCTGTTCTTCGAGCGTTAGGAGGCGCGGCAGAAGCCTGCGCCGACCCTGGTTTTATGTTGATTACCAGCATGTTTTACACCAGAAAAGAGCAGCCTGTCCGAATTGGCCTGTGGTATACCGCGAATGGTTTTGGTATTGCACTTGGTGGCCTGTTGGGTTATGGGATTGGACATCTCAAGGGTGCGCTTCCATCTTGGAAATACGAATTCCTCGTCATGTAAGTCCAAGGTACTAGAATTTAGCACCGTGGTAACTTGCTAACTGAGGTGCAGCGGTGCCCTTTGCTCTGCCTGGGGCATCGTCATGTTCATATTCCTTCCGGATTCGCCCGTCTCTGCACCGGGTCTTACCCCCAGGGAACGACGAGTTGCCGTTGAACGGTTGAGAGAGAATCAGACAGGAGTTGAGAACAAGCATCTCAAGCCGTACCAGGTTCTAGAGGCATTCAAGGACTACAAACTGTATATTTTCTTCGTGCTAGGCTGTGTCTGTGAGTATTATCCTCTCGTCACTCTGGCTAGCAGCTAATTTGCACAGGCAACATCCCCAACGGCGGTATCTCAAACTTCGGCACGTTGATCATCCAGGGCTTTGGATTTTCAACCCTGGTCACTACCCTGATGCAGGTATGGTTTGTCCGATTTCAGCCCACATTCACCGAGATTTAATAACACTGTTCTAATATAGATTCCCTACGGCGTCCTCATCGCGCTCTCCATCCTTCTCTGCGTCTACCTCAACGACCGCTTCGAGAACCGCCGCTGCGTCTTCATCCTGTTATTCCTGCTCCCCAATATCGCCGGCGCCTTTGGCCTGCGCTTCGTCCCGCTAGACCAGAAAGTCGGCCGGTTGATATGCTACTATCTCACGGGTCCGTACAACGCAGCCTTTGTCTTGATCCTGAGCATGCAGATCGCGAATACTGCAGGTACTGTCCCATTCTAACTCTGATCTTCCTCGGAGCTGTGACGGTCTAATCCGATGATGCAGGACATACAAAGAAGGTCGTTACGAACGCAGTCCTCTTTCTGGGCTACTGTACTGGGAACATTGCGGGTCCATTTTTCTACAAGACGAGTCAGAAGTACGTTGTCTTCCCTTTTTTCCCTATTCTTTCACCGTCATAATTGATCATTTCTCGCTCGAATTGCCCCCTGACTTTGTCGCAGACCAACTTACCCCCTCGGCATCTGGTCCATGATCGTCTCGCATCTGATCGAGGCCGTTCTTATTTCCGTCCTTGGCCTTCTCCTCCGGTGGGAGAACAAGAAGCGGGATCGCATCCAGTCGCAGATGCAGGGTGGCCTTGAGGGCCGAGATCTGGATTCTACTGCGTTTTTGGATTTGACGGATCGAGAGAATCTCAAGTATGTTTTTCATCCTTGGTTATGAAAAATCACTATGAGCTGGCTAATTCGTATTTCCCCGCAGTTTCCGCTATATATACTGAGTCAACTTAATTTTGACGAAGGATCTATTCTGGATCTGAGAACATGGATGCAATCTAACGACATTTGGTAGTATCAACTATGGAGATGTTGAGGACGTTCAACGTTATGCAGCAATCAATTAAACGCATGTGCGCTTTCAAGCTCCCTCGTTCATAAAGCTGCTCCACAACGCTATCTGCGATTGTAGTTGAGGAAGCGAGACTAAGAAAATAATAATCAGCTTGTATCGTAGAATCGACAATCACAGGATAAACTCACAGCCAAGAAGAGAATGATGAGATTAGACCCGATAAAGGCAAGGAAGATCCCCAGGTCCCGCCACCTGGTATCAAAGCTCATAGAAAAGGCACTGTAGAACTCATCCCCAATCTTATACGCACAGTACTCGCAAGCCTGCGTCGTGTTGTCGGCCAGGTATCCCAGCCCCCCACGCTCGAAGAATGGCCGCATGTACTCGCCGCAGGTCTGATTCGCGGGGGCCTGGAATCGATTATACTCGCTCGCGGCGCAGGAGACGGTGCGGCCGTGCAGCTCTGTGGTGACCATGCCGCTGATGAGGCGGGTGAAAGGGTCGAGCTGGTAAAGCCAGGCGCGCCAGAAGCCGGGCATCTGGGGCTTGGGGATGGCGACGCCGCAGAAGAGCGAGAAGATGATGACGATGGGCGGATTGATCTGGGAGGCGATGAAGCTGTTTGGTGTCAGGGCGGAGATCATCTGGCCCAGGGTTACGGAGAAGAGTTCAGTGATGAGGACCATGAGGAATTGGTACCCAGCTCGGCTGGACGCGGCTTGGAAGCCTGGGATGTAGTAGAGGGGGAGGAAGAAGCAGACGGCGCAGAGGATGCTGTAGGGGAGCTCGGCGATGACCATGGACAGGGCGAATGCGAACTGGCTGTATGATTTACAGGCGGATTCTCGGAAGAAGACGAGCCGCGAGAACTCGAAGCGGGGTTCGACCTGTTGGAGGATGATGGCCGGGAGGACGGTCACGTTGAAGATGACGAAGATTCGGTACTGGAGCGAGGCGCGGGAGTCGTCGAGGTTCAGGAATGCGAGACCGGTGACCAGGGCGATGACGACGTGATTGAATAGTCGTGTGAAGCCGTAGTTCCTTGATCGCCAGAAGACGATGTTGGTGCGCTTGCAGACGACCTTGATCTGGTGCCACAGTGGTGTGGCATACTCTCTGACAGCTATCTGCGAGCCGCTTCTCTGCCGGACCTCCTCCGCACGCTGAACCTTAATCTGAATAATCTCTCTTTTGACCTGCTCCAACTCGGGAGACGTGCGCCAGATCTCTCCCCAGTCTCGATCTCCAATTCGGCGAGTCTGGCCTGCGCCGATGGCATCGAGCATCCATTCCGCCGGGTTTGCGTCAGGTGGACAGTCAGCTCCATTGCGGCGGAAGTAATCCAACAAGACACGGGAGTCTTCTCCAATGTCTCCAAAGTATACGCACTCTCCTCCCTTCTGCAGCAGGAGAAGGCGATCAAAGTTCTCAAAAAGGGCAGAGTTCGGCTGGTGGATGGTACACAGGATTGCCTGTCCGGCGGCGGCAAGTTTTCGCAGGAACCGAATGATATTGAATGCCGATTGACCGTCGAGACCAGAGGTAGGTTCATCAAGGAAAAGGAGGAGCTCCGGTTTGGCGGCAAGCTCAACACCAATGGTAACGCGTTTTCTTTCTTCGACTGAGAGGCCGGTCTCCGGAGTTCCAATAATCGCGTCGGCAAGATCCTCGAGCTCAAGAAGCTGGATGATGCCCTCGACGTACTCGTACTTTTCGGATTGTGGTGTCTCGTATGGCTGGCGAAGGTCGGC